GAGACCACCAGTTATTGGAGGTTTTAGAGGACCTGAGGAGACCAGTTTTGAGGGTTTTGGTGTACCTGAGGAGACCAGTTGTTGGAGGTTTTGGTGGACCTGGGGAGACCAGTTGTTGGAGGTTTTGGTGGACCTGAGGAGACCAGTTATTGGAGGTTTTGATGGACCTGAGGAGACCAGTTATTGGATGTTTTGGTGGACCTGAGGAGACCAGTTGTTGAAGGTTTTAAATGCTCTAAGGAGACCAGTTATTTGGATGTTTTGGTGGACCTGAGGAGACCAGTTGTTGAAGGTTTTGAAGGCTCTAAGGAGACCAGTTGTTGGAGGTGTTTATGGACCTGAGGAGACCAGTTATTGGATGTTTTGGTGGACCTGAGGAGACCAGTTGTTGAAGGTTTTAAATGCTCTAAGGAGACCAGTTATTTGGATGTTTTGGTGGACCTGAGGAGACCAGTTGTTGAAGGTTTTGAAGGCTCTAAGGAGACAAGTTGTTGGAGGTGTTGGGGGGGAACATTGTCCCATTCTGGTCTGATGGAGGATTCTAGCTGTTCTACAGTCCTGTTTCTTCTCTGAAAGATGGGAACAGATGTTCTAAAACCTGTAGATATTTTTCTGCATTAATGGTGCAATTCCAGATGTGCAAGATGCCAAAGACTAACGCACCCCCATACCATCAGCGACTTTTGACCTGTGAGCAGACAACAGGACAGATGGTCCCTTTTGTCTTTAGTACGCAATCAAACTAAAACTTATTGTGATTTATCTTTTTATTCTAAACACAAACACTGAACAACACTTTGAGTAATAACCAGAAAATGAAGCAGTTCAAAAAGTTTCCAACCAGTTTTTGTATTTTCTTGTCGTCAGCCTCAGAGTGAACTCCCCCAGGAGCGGAAACCCCGAGCGGTGCGCCCCGCTGGGCGCCTTTGCACCGAACTGCACCGCCACCTCACCACCGCGCAGGACACAGAGAACAGCCCCGGTCCTGAGGCAGGGGAGGATGAAGAGGAAGAAGACGACGAGGACAGTGAGTCGGAGGAGGATGACGAGGAGGAAGGGGAAGAGGAGGAGTCTTCCAGCAGCGAGGTTGAAGGTGCAGCAGGTGCGGCTGCTGTGCCGACAGAGCCGGCGATGCCTCAGTTCAGCTCGGAGAAAGAACTGCAGTCAGTCGTGGAGCTGATCACCTACATGCACACCTACTGCCTGCCCATGCGCAAGCAGCAGGCCTGGGAGCGCAAGGACGCCCCCAGGCCTCGAGTCAAACCCGAAGCTTCCCGCTCAGCTTCTACAAACTCTCACAGCAGAGTGGTCCTGGTGGCCGCTCCTGGGACTATTGGGAGTTTGACTGGGACCGGTACCAGCACCCCCCGGAGGCTCCCCTTTACCAGGCGGAGGGAGATGAAGGCCAACTCTCTTCTCCGTGAGCTCTTGCAGCAGAGCAGCTCCTTCGATGTGAGCAAGCCTTACAGACTGCACAACCCACCCTACACCCACTCCCAGAGCCCCACCAGGGGCGTAGCGCCTGCTCCTTCTGCCCTGATGAATAAATCAGCCCCGGCCTGGCCCCCCAGCTCCTCTGTCCTCAACCCAGAGCTTAGTAAAGACTCTGCCTTACCTGAGAGGACAAACTGTTCCTCTGAGCCGTCGCAGAGCCTGGACGAACCAGCAGAAACCAGCGGCTCGTTTTCAGTTCGGCGCTCCAGACGCCTGGCGTCTTTTCCTAGCCGCTTCGCGAAGAGGTTACGGCCCGGACGAGCGAGAGACGGAGCGGGGAATGACAAGGTGGCGACAGACGAGAGAAAAGCAGGGGACAAACTGCTGCCTACCCAAGCAGGAGGGGGGACCACGACAGAAACACAGCCAGAAAAGCAAAGATCTAGTGACGGCAGCACCACGTCAGCGCCGACCGACCCCTGCTGCCACGGTTAGACAATCAGCACACACAAAGGCTGAGCTCAAGGTTTACTCTACTTATTATTGATTTTATCCAGGTTTTTATAATCTGTATTAAGTGTGAGACAAAAACCATCATCCATCTTGTGACACAAAAACACACAAAATAATATGTTTAAATTTTATATCTAAATGTTCCTGTTTTGGCAACGCTATTTCATGGTTTCATGCAGAGACACTAAACATCAAAATGAACTTGATGTGAAATGTAACCGTTAACAGTGTCTTCTATAAGAATTGTGCACTTTTTAAACAGTAATTGCTTTTGAATTTGTTGCATAGTTTGACCTACAATGACCAAATTAATCCACTTAACATTTTGTTTTTATGCTGAAACAAACATTGAGATGTATCATTTTGTTGTTGTCTGCCATCTGCAAGAGACTACATGAGAATTTTATCGTTCCAGTAATTTCATATATTGTGTATTGTACTCTGTGGTTTTTACCCTTAATTACATATTATCTGGCAACAAACATCATTTTCAAATCATCACTGCCCCGACTGTGATTTCACACTGGCCACAGAGTCACACATAGAATATATCAAAGTTTAGACCTTTTGACTTGCAAAGTGAAGATCGCTGTAGACAGTCGCACAGTATTTATAATGACTGTTAAAAAGAGAAGGCCTAACTGGTTTTAACTGAGGTTTGCTTCTAATTGCAGAAAAGCGAGCCTGTCTCTGTCTGCCCCTTAACCCAAAGTCCACAGGGTGAGTATCTGTACAAAAAACTAAATTAGTAATGTGACATGTATGTGTAGCTGTAAACCAAAAAGTACTGGAGGCTCGCTAAATGAAACACATGATCCTCCTTTATGAGGATAAGAATCCTCTCTGTAAAAAAAAAAAAACCCAAGACCTTTTTTTGTTTTGTGTTTCTTAGACAGAATATAGTTTCCTCAGTAGTTGAAATAAGTATGAATACGTTTTTTCCATCCATCCATCCATCCATCCATCCATCCATCATCTTCCGCTTGTTTCGAAGTCGAGTCTCGGGGGCAGCAGCTTGAGCAGGAAGGTCCAGACATCTCTTTTTACATCCACCTCTTCCAGCTCTTCTGGGAGGACTCCCAAGGCGTTCCCAGTCCAATTAAAAGACGCAGTCTCTCCAGCGTGTCCTTGGTCTTCCCCGGGGTCTCTTCCCAGTTGGACATGCCCGAAGCATGTGCCCAGGGAGCATCCTTACCAGATGCCCAGACCTCCTCAACTGGCTCCTCTCGATGTGGAGGAGCAGCGGTTCTACTGCGAGTCTCTCCTGATAACTGAACTTCTCACCCTGTCTCTAAGAAGAGTCCAGCTGCCCTGCAGAGGAAACTCGTTTCAACCGCCTGTATCCACAATCTCATTCTTTCGGTCATTATCCAAAGTTCGTAGTCATAGGTGAGGGTAGGAACGTAGACCGTCCAGTAAACAGAGAGCTTTGCTTTACAGCTCAGCTCCCGCTTCACCACAACGGACCGGCACAGAGTCCGCAATACTGCAGATGCTGCATCAGTCCATCTGTCAATCTCACTGTCAGTTTTTTCTAAACTTATAATTTACTACTTACTTAGCTTGATGTCCTTTATAAAGAATTACTTTTAAATACCGTTAAAGGGAACCTGAGTACCACCCATTGTACTTGTTTCACAGTTTTTAGAACTTTGAGTGAAATACTTTTTTTATAACCTTATTGTCTCATTTATTATATGAAATTCTACTTTCAGTTTGAAAATAATAACACAACCAAGGTAAATAATTAATCATGGGAATGGTTTATTCATTAGCCACAACGTGAAAAATAAATCCCATAAACGAGCGGGAGATGGTTGGCATAATGGCCGTTAATGATCTTTGTAATAACAGAAATAAGTGATTTGATTCCATGTTTGAACCCGTCTTATTTCTGTAACGCATTAACGATGGCTGTTCACAAAGGAGTGATTAGCTGGAAAACTTGTTGGCAGGATGTGAAATTTTTTTAAGATGAAATCCTCTGAAGGCAAAGCAAACACTACGACCTCTCCCTTTAGACACGTCACCGCATCCTTTAAAAATTATGTCTCAGGGCAACAACTTGCACACTGTACAAACTGAACCATAAATGTTTTTATGCCTACCAGTTTGCATGAGCTGAGGGCATGTTTGGTATAATTTGTAAAAAAAAAAAAAAAAAGATACGGAAATTTTATATTAGGATCTTTTCAAGGTTCATATTATGTAAAACACCAGTTTTTAATTTTTCTGTATCCAACTCTTTCAGTATAGTTTCAGCAACGTTAATCATTCAGGTGTCAAAATGTTGAGCTCATTCAGGAAAAAGAGGGCTAAGACATGTGGTATTTTTACATTTATACTTTTTAAAATATTTAACTTTTTTTGGATTTATTGAAATAAATGCATGGCATTTTTAGACGATTTTAGCTGTTGGGTTTTTGTTTTTGCCCTCTGTCGTGGAGCGAAGAAGAAAAATTGGAAATGCTTTCTGTCAGTGCATCTGTGCAAGTTGTGAGCATGATGGCCATAAAAGCTGTGAAGTACCAGCCTCCATTTTTATTATGTCGCTACATCTAGGCGTCAAACAGATCATTAAAAATTAGGTTGCCGCGCCAAAATCCAAGATGGCTGCCACCATATTTGTGTTTATGTTAACCTTGTGAGCTGGATAACTTGAAAAATAAGCATCATGACTTCCACATTGGTGTGAAACTTCAATGTAAGAAAGTGCCGTATCAAAAACTGGGTTGCCACGGCAAAATCCAAGATGGCTACCACTGTAGCTATATATAAACTAGCCACCCCAGTCATTTGAAGAAACAATGCTTTCTAGTTTTTATATTATTTAGAAGTATAGTCTCCTCAACTTATTGTGTAAAATAAGCATCTTTCACTTTTGCTTATTTTCTGTTCTGCTTTTGACAAATTTCAGCAAAATCCTTCAGATTGATTTCACAGAACTTCCTTCCTTTCTGTCATTGAGTCCATCAGTAATAAATGTCAACATTACAACACATTTAAAACAGGGTTAAAAAAGATATGACGAGGAGTTCTTTGAGCTCTAAAAAGACTGAATACGTAAGAAGAAACTGACACAAATGTGACGTCTGTATTAACCACCAGCAGCCACGTTTGTCAGTGGTGTTTTAATTAACCTCGACTAGTTGTTGAGTGTACTGATCGTTCTCGTCGAGGGGGTTGGTTGTAGATTAGGTTTATGTATTTAAACATCTGTAGAATTACAACAGTTCAATTCCAGAGCTTTTACTTTTCCCAAATTAACCTCCCAACCCAACCAGCCTCAAACCCTGAATTGTTTCCATCTTATCCAGTCAAAAAGCTAAAGATCTTCTTGTAAAACCCTCAGGCTTCTGCTAAACAAATCAGTCCTCAGAAGCACTCACCAAAAAGTAATAAGGAGTGAGTGTTTTAGTTTTTTGATTTGCTGTTTGCTGTGGAGGGTAAGCGATATCTCGCCTGAAGCCAATCCACTCCACACAGCTCCTGCCTTTCATGGCAACAGAAACAGACGGCCACAAAACGGCAGAGGAAGAATAATGGAGAGGACAGCATGGAGAGTACATATGGCTGTTGTGATAAGAAGTGAGAAGCAGTGGGAAAAAAATAGCAGCTTTCTCAGGGAGACATAATTCATATTCAGCAGACATCAGCTTAGACTGTGCTGGTTTTATTTTTAGGAAACGCCAAAGTTGAGATTCAGAACCCATTAAAGGATTCCAGTTCAATATTTTAACCTTGCAAGATATTCCAACATGACAGAGCTTTATTTCCTCTGCTTTCAGAGAGTCCCAGTACAACACCAGGCCTTATGAGCAGACACTCAGTGTGGATCTGTGCGGAACTGCAGGTAAGCACAACGCAGGGCCACAAAGTTACTTACCGTAATTTCCGGACTGTTGAGCGCACCTGAATATAAGCCACGCCCACTAGAAAAAATGTACATTTATTGGCCGCACTTGTCTATTAGCCACAGGTGTTCACGTTGTAACATGAGATATTTACACAGAAATACTTTTTAAACTTTTAATTAAATATGTAGCGTAACATGCACAAATACGTACAGTAAATGTTTTTTTTCTGAACAGTGCCTGTAACGCGGCTGGTTAAAAAAATAAAATAAAGTAGGAAAAGTCATTGATGCTATCTTCATCTTCCTCCTGCGCACAAAAACCACTAAAGTCGTCTTCTTCAGTGTCAGAATTGAGCAGCCTCAGAAAGTCTTCATCACACACGTCCTCCGTCTCTTTCGTTGTCGCTTTCAACGTCACTTTCGTCTTGAGGCAAACTCGCCCTTGAGCTCGTGCTGTCCTCTTCATCACGCAGCAGTCCAGCCTTTCGAAACCCATTGGTGATAGTGGATTTTTTGACACTGCTCCGCTGTCAGGATCCACTGGGATCCACTTGAACAAAAGGCCAGTTTTGGTAAATGATTTCTCGCCGCTAGTCATCCAAGCCTCCCACTGAGCTCGGCGGCGCCTTAAATGCACGATTCACACTGATGCCTTCGTTGTGCCCCCAGGGATCACTTGCTTCACGTGTCCACGAGACATGTTTTGGGCAGCTATGTAAGCACCCAGGTGTAACGAGGCTAAATGTTTTGGCGGCATGAAACTCATTAGCCTTTAAAAATTCATAAATTAGGCGCATCATTGTATAAGCCGCAGTGTTCCAAGCGAGTGAAAAAAGTAGCAGCTTATAGTCCAGAAATTACGGTGCACATAAAAAAAAAACATTTGTTCTCCACATGACACGACTGGAATCTTTGTCCAGTGGTTAAACACCTTTATGACGTTCGAGATTTTGGTTTGGCAAATGTTGTGGAGGAGCAATGTCTTTAAGTGCATGTCTTCCCACTCAGGTCTCACCCCTCCCACTACTCCACCTCACAAACCTGTGGAGGATGAGCTCTTCAAGCCGACAGAGGGAGGAAAGGGTGGCGGCAGCACTGATGGAGGAGGCGAGGTGGAGTCTGTCCACCCGGCTTCAAACACCAACAACAACGTTGCCACCAAGGCGTCGGCCTGGTTAAGTCGTTCCCACCACCAGCGGAAGCTGCCAGAGCAGACGGAGCTGTACGCTCAGCTGCGGCGGATGGGCCATGCCAGCAACACCCAGCGTAACTTCGGTGATCACGACTACTGCATGCTAAGCCTCGGCGAGGGCTACAAACAGAATGCAACCGTGCTCGGAGCCTTTTTGCGGCAACAAGAAGGAAGCGAGGACGATATCTCCCAAGCACCCAAAGCAGCTGCTGATCCAGTACCGGAGAAAAAAGACAAAGAGAGCAAGGAGGAGAGGCTGGTGATGGCGGAGGTAGTAGAAACACAGGAGCAGCAGATGACCATGATGATATCAGTATCACCTCCATCAGACTGCCAGTCAGTTGCTGCCACGCCTCCAGCCTCTGAGGAGGAGGCAGAGTGTTCCTCAGCATCCCGCTCACCTTCACCCATACTCTACATGTGTCCCGACTCCCCCTCCAGCAAGACAGACTCCAGGTAAGATGTATGGAGAATGAAACCAAGAGGTCTGAAAATGTGGGTCAAGGGGATTGGACTCATGGTGAAACTCTGATTTCCTGTTTGAGACACACGAGCAAGATTTCATAAAAGAAAGAACAATCACTGATTTTCCATTAACCTCAACTTTGAAAACAATAAAATGTACCTTGGATTTGTGGATGGTAGAGTGAACTGTGTTCCTGAGCCCATGCAGTGAGGTACAGAATCAGACTTGTTTTTAATCAGAGTCAGAGTCAGAGTTTCTTTATTGTCATTCGCACCTCATGTGGTACATGTGGTGGAGCGAAATTATGTACACAGGGTCCCAGTTACATCCAACAATAAAATGTATAAGAAAAACAGTAATAACGTCTAAGATATGAACTAAGAAAAACATCAACTAAATATACACTAAGCACTCATAACATAAAACATTGAACATCAGCACAAACATGAACATGAGTCTGTGAGCAGATGTGCACGCATGAACACATCAACATTGAAACAGATCAGCAGCAACATGAAACAGATCAGCAGCAACATGATATGGTTTTTCACAGTGATTATTCTAGTTAGAGATTCATGAGTCTAACAGCCTCAGGGTAGAAGCTGTTCCTCAGTCTAGTGGTTCTACACTTCATGCTCCTTAACCTCCTTCCTGAGGGGAGTGGGGCAAAAAGTGTGTGTGCTGGGTGGGTGGGGTCCTTCATGATGCAGGTGGCCCTCTTCCTGCATCTGGAGGTGTAGATGTCTGTGATGGTGGGGAGACTGACTCCAACAGATTTCTGTGCAGCCTTCACCACTCTCTGCAAAGCTTTTCTTTCTGCAGCTGTGCAGCCTCCATGCCACACATTGATGCTCGAGCACAGGATGCTCTCCACTGCACACCTGTAGAAGGAGGTGAGGACTGAGCTTCCCAGACCAGCTCGCCTCAGCCGTCTGAGGAAGTAGAGTCTCTGATGAGCTTTCTTGATCAGGCTGGTGGTGTTGTTGCTCCAGCTGAGGTTGTCATTCATGTGTACACCCAAGTACTTGTAGCTGGAGACCACTTCCACCGCAGATCCTCTTATGTTCAGGGGGGTGTAGGTGTTTTTGTTCCTTCTGAAGTCCACAATCATCTCCTTTGTCTTCTTCACATTGATGTGAAGGTTATTCTCTCTGCACCAGCTCTCCAGGTGTTCCACCTCCTGCCTGTAGCTGGACTCATCATTGTTTGTGATGCATCCCACCACCGCTGTATCATCTGCAAACTTTACAATGTGACAGCCTGGATGGGTAGCTGCACAATCATATGTGAGCAGAGTAAACAGGAGGGGGCTCAACACACATCCCTGAGGAGAGCCAGTGCTCAGGGTTATGGTGGAGGAGGAGAGGTTGTGGATCCTCACTAACTGTGGTCTGTTTGTTAAAAAGTCTAGTACCCAGTTGCAGATGGAGGGGCTTAGTCCTAGTGTGGATAGTTTGTCCATCAGGGTTTGGGGGATCATGGTGTTGAAGGCGGATGTGAAGTCCACAAAGAGCATACGGACGTAAGAGTTTTTCTGCTCCAGGTGGTTGAGTGCAGTGTGGACCACAGAGGAGATGGCATCCTCTGTTGATCGGTTCTCACGGTATGCGTACTGATGAGGGTCCTCGTTGATGTTGATGGTTGTTTTGATGTGAGTCATGACCAGTTTTTCGAAGCATTTAGCGACTATCGGGGTGAGGGCCACTGGCCGATAGTCATTCAGACCAGTCACTGTAGAGCTTTTTGGGACTGGGATGATGGTGGCAGTCTTCAGGCAGGTGGGAACTGTCTCCAGGGTAAGTGAGGTGTTAAAGATGTCTGCCAGCACCTCACAGAGCTGATCAGCACATTCCTTCAACACTTTTCCGGGGATGTTGTCTGGGCCAGTTGCTTGTTGCTTAATGCTGTGGCCCCTAAGGTCAAAGATCACAACCATCCAAGACTGCCTTTCAGACTTGTCCTTTTGGTTCTGAGATTTCTCTGGATTCTTGAAACAGTTTGATATTATGGACTGTATATGATGGGATATTAAAAGGCTTCCCAATTTTCTGTTGAGAAACTTGATTCTGAAATTGTTTCAGTCATTTTAGATGCAGTGTTTTGCAGACTGGTGAACCCCTGCCCATATTTACATCCGAGAGATTCCGATGCTCTTTTCATACCATTCGTCTTATGGCACTTTGCAATAGTCTCGACACTCATCGGTTCTGCACCACTCCGCACTAGTTAAGGGCCTGCTCACTGTTGGTACCAACCCCCCACTCAGCCAGGTTAAGGGACCATCTTGTTTGTGGTGCCAAGCAAGCTGCTCTGAGGTGACGAGTTTGACGTAAGCAGGCAGCAACTGTTGATTGGCCAGTGGAGCTATGTCACTGGATGACCCACCCAGTTAGTTCGTTTTTTCTAGTTATTTAGTTTCTAGTTCAGTATGGAAGCTCCAAAAGTAATCAGGTGGACCACTGACGAGATCCAGACCATTCTGTCTTTATTGGCAGATCACAGGCTTCAGAGTGATCTGGACAGTGCTCTAAGAAATGAGTGAATTTACAGCGTGATATCAGAGATGATGATTCAGCATGGTCAATGGTGTGAGTAGCATTGGTAATATGAGGGGGGGCAGTGGGGTGGAGACACACTGGTGGGGGGTTCTGGGGGGTCCTCCCATATAAAGATTTGAATAAAGTAGATGCAATTTCTGCATTCTGGTGTATTTTAAAGAACTGTTAAACATCTACGTTTACCTATGTAAGTTAGCACTTGATTCAATAACTATTTTAGAGTAGCCTAAACAACAACCCCCACCCCGCCCTCGGTCGACAACTGCCAGCACTAACGTAGCACTAAGCTAGCAGCGCACAATACAGACATGCTAGCTAAGTTGCTACAGATGTAGCGCTCTGCTTCTCTCATGCACCTTGAAACCCCACCCCGGTCAACAACTGCCAGCATTAATGTAATGCTAAGCTAGTGCGCAACACAGAGGAGCCCCCTCCTACCCCTGCCTTGTTGACAAAAAACCCTGAACAGATGAGCGCCCTGCCAAGCCAAGTGACTTCCTGGAAACATTGCATGTAGTGTGGTGAGTTGTAGGTTACCATGAAAACCCGGAGTGGACTTTTAGTGGTTCGAGTATTCTCCTATTTATCAAGTGGAATGGATTTGTTCACGAAGAAATAGAAACGGCGCAGAGTGATCTAATGTTTAATGGGAAATACAGGGGGGGGCAAATGAATATTTTTTTAAGTGTGTGTGTGTGTGTGTGTGTGTGGGGGGGGGGGGGGGGGGGGGCACATCCCTTTCACATATAGTTATTGCAAAGCATATGAGCATGGCTACGCCCAGACCTTTAACCAGTGCCAGGATAAGATAACAAGTCACAGTGGCAAATCACCTACACCTGAGAAGACAAGAGCCGACTCGAGTCATATTTATCAATGTCAAAGCAACTTCACTGCACTGATGCTCTATAATCTATAATAATATCTAATAATCTATAACCCTATAATCTAACACGATGTAAAATACTCCTCCAGTTGTTTCTTTTTCATACCACGTACTTGTACAGCCTTCTTTCCCTTTTTCCTTACACATTTGAGACAGATTGTTTCAATTTAATTCAAATTTTCTTGTTTTTCCCCAAATACTTCACAATTTCTTAGTTTTAACATCTGGTTTGTTGTTTAATTGTAAATAAATCATGGCTTTATGAGATTTGCAAATTATTGCAGTCGGCTTTTATTTACATTTAGTCAACGTCAAAAGATTTTTAAATTTAAGAATGTACACAAGCTCTATTTCACTAGAACATTTTGAAACCACAACTTTATTTTGAGACCAGATGAAACAAAGAATTAATTTTGAATTTATGACTCAGACTTTTTAATTGAATTGAGAATAAATTTGGCATCACTGACAGATATTTTTGTACCAGGGCAAGAAATGGGAGTTCTCCTTATTTTAGGTGTTGAATGTATTGTCACCAATTCCCAAAGCCTAAAAGTGTATAAAAATAGAAAATAAAGGCTAAATTTAATCATGGCTTGACAAGAAAACAACTCTTGTTTGTTTTTCTTGCAGTGCAGCATTTTGGACATCACTCATTCTATTTTCTGAATTTTAACTAACACCTTTTTGATGGTTTCACCTGTCGTTCTACGGGTTTTAGTGCAGTTCGTTGGACTGTAAAGCCGAGGTATTCACTTGTTAAATGTGCTTTGACGTGTAGCATAAAAGGCAGAACTACAGCACAAATGATTTTTTTCTTTAACAAAAAAAACCCCTCATCTTCCAACCAACTGAAAACTGTGTTGTCCACGCTAATAAGGTCACACGTCATGTTATTTCTCAGCTGTTAAAGGGTTCCAGTTAAACATGTAGACATAACTGAAGCAAAACTCTACCATCTCTCACTTCTAAGGCAGTACAGTTCAGCATGGCTGCCTGACACAGAACGAGGTCAGCAGTCATGTTATTGCTGAAAATATAATGAGAAAAGAAATCATCAAACGGAGAGACGTTTTACTTCAAACCGAAGGAGACTTTTACCAGTTTCTTCATGTCTGACATTTCAGTTTCGCCTTGTCTCCATCCCTATCTCTCACCATTTTCTTCTTCTTTGTCCTCCAGTGAGAACTCTGAGAGCTGTCCAGACGACAACCAGAGGAACAAAACTAACTCTGACGAGGTACAGAACTTTCACCTCCTGCGGTCTCCTGCGTTCCGCAAATCTATTAAAGAACCTTTAATTCAAGGAAATTTAAGTTACAACAGGAAAAGACTAGTGTTAAAAGTCTCTGATAACTAGTTTAGGTCTCAACATTAGACCTGACTGAAATTTGTTGGATTGTATACCTGGATTATTGAGCATGGACTTTGTTGGTCTCAAAGTTAGGTCTTAGTTAAGGTCTTAACTCAAAGTGTAAAGTGTCTTGTGAACAAACCAGGGATCTCCTAAATAGTAAATGGACTGTACTTGCATAGCACCTTTCTATCCAATCAAGATACACAAAGCTCTTTACAACACAACCTGTGCTCTCATTTACCTCCACACTATACAAAGTCTCTACAAAGCTAATCTGCTTCTGTAGCAACTAATCAGAGCTTTAGATCACATTCATACACCAATGGGACACAAATCAGAAGCAATGAGGGGTTCAGTGTCTTGCCCAGGGACACTTCAACATGTGACTGCTGGTGGAATTGAACCCCCAACTCTCCCATTGGAGGACGACTGCTCTAACCACTCAGTCACAGCTGCCCCAAAGAGCTGAACCTCGTATCTGTTGTACATCTCCTTCCTTGGTGCAAACGTCTTTTGATATGCTGTATTGTCCTCCATCCTGACTGTTGCCATGGTTTTATTGTTGCCAGGACAACTGCCAGGTGTTTTACATCCACCACCTGCCTAACAGGGTGACGGAGAACATGCTGAGGAAACGCTTCCAGGTTTTTGGCAACACAGAGGACTGCAAAGTCATCATTTGTAACGAGTAAGTGTTCAGAATGGGATTACTTGTTCTGAGTAGAGATAGAGCAAACGTATGATGGTGCTCGGAAAAACCTAAAACTAAATGTACAAAAGTGGTTTAATAAACGGGAGATACAAACATAAAAGGCCGCGTGTGTTAGAGGAGTCCTATTTTTTTCATTCATGAGCTCCGCTCTCATTTTTGTCCATGACCAAAAATTGACTTCAGATCTGTGGTTTGACTTTAGTCTTTACTACCAGCAATCATCTTAAACAACCTAAATGGTTGTTTTTCCAAAATGAACTTCCCCACAGAGATTGATTAAATAGGAATTATAAAATACTAGACTATAATACAGTAGTCCCTCACATATCGCGGGGCTTACATTCCAGGCAACCCCGCCCCGCGATAGGTGAAAATTCACAAACTAGGGACATTATATTTATTTTAATATATGTGTGTGTGTATATATATATATGTATATATATATATACATACATATATATATATATATAGGAGAAACCCCACATCATTGCAATGTTCTTAACAATGTTCTAAACTCTCTAAATGCTCTAAAAGAGCACAGCGTAAGAGAGCATACAGACTGATGCTACGGTTACTGAGCTAGTTGGACTGGCCATCGGGAGCACTGGGGCATTTCCCGGTGGCCTGGCCCGCTCAGTGATCGCCAAGCGGAACTAAAGGCTCAGTTCGGGTCACACTTGATTATTTACAATAAACAATCCAGTTAACATAACAGGTTGCGTGCCCAACTGTTGTGTGTCTCTGCTCTGCTGTGACAGACAGCCTCAGAAAGAGAAAGGAGGGGGCGGGGTCTGTTTTTACCCATTGCCATTCGTGTGTCGTATGTAATCTTAAGTTGAAAACCCACAAAAGAGCGTGTCCGCAAAAGTCGAACCGCAAATTATCAAGCGGCTTCTGTAATGATGTCCTTGATTTTTGTTGTTGTTTATGTTAGTTTGTTTTTTTAGAGAAACCCAAACATTTGTTTGTGAGGTGGATCATTTGACTGTCTAGTTAGTTTGCTTATATTTCAGACATTTGTTCTGTTAAAGAAAATCCAGCATTAAATGTACGTGTTTGAAAGTAAAAAAAATCCAATACCAAAAGCTTATTCTGAACTACCGTATTTAAAATGGCGCATTTGGTTTACTTCAGTCATTTTCCGGATATGTTGATACACAGCTCTTAAATACATGTATGCACTTAATGTAGACAAAATGCATTTATGTGCATATTTTACTCCACACATTTGAGTATAAATATTTACCAAATTTATCAACGATACCAGACCTCTCAATCTCAAACAGCTCTTCGTGGACCTTGACATTAATGACATATTTTCAGTCACTTTGGCCGTTTCCTTAGGTAAACAAAAGGTCGTTAGCATCTATTCACAAATTTGACTTCATAATTTTTATTTAACGTACCATCAACCATCCATATGAAAGAAATTGTTCCTTCATGATGTTTTTGACTGGTCTTCATGATTTTTCGTTGAGTACCTTGAAGTAACTGAGATGTACCAGCTCACTAACGAGTTCAGTTTTTTTTTTTTTTTAGTCCTCTTGAATCATTTTTTGTCATCTTGGATAAAATATTAAACAGTCTCCTGCTTTGTGTGTTTAAAGGGAGCGCTGCGGGGTGATAAAGATCCGCCAGTCGGGAGCCCAAAAGCATCGGAGAGAACGCGAGAGTGTTTTCCAGAATGCCCCTGCAGGTCTGAGGCGGCTGACAAGAAAACGCTACATAGATCTTGGTAATGAGGCACGCACAAATAATTACGGAACAGTTTTAGTTTGTATTGGACATTTTTACATCTTCAGATGTAAAAATGTTAACAAGCGTGCAGTGGATTAGAAAAGCAGAAGCTGCTCTCATCTAGAGGGTGCCACACTATAAGAGGCTCCTAATGCATGCTCTGCTTTTTTACTCTGACTGAGGTCATAATTTACAAAGAAGACATCTTACTCCATTAACCAAAACATGAAACCAGCTATTAAGGTTATAAACTTGTCATCCCTCCCCGTGTATTCTTGTTATTCTTCTGTCCTCATCTATTTTAGGACAGGGCTACCACCACCCTACTAGGACCTTTGTAACCCAACTGTGCTTCTCTGTTTCAGACGAGGCAGGCCCTGGTCCTGTCAAGAGTAAGTATGATGCGTTGGACTTTGACACTCTGCTGAAGGAAGCCCAGAAGTCCCTGCACCGTTGACAGTACAGCCCTGCTGTCTGGCCAGCCTTAGAAAACTGCAGCAGAACCCTTCCAACAACACGGGTCTGCCCTCAGTACCTCCATGCAAGGCAACCTCACAAAATGTTTACATTTTTACTGTTGGAGTAAAGTAACAAGGACCTTGTTTTTTTAAGTTTATTTCACCGGAGGATACTGCTTAAAACAAGGAAGTCACTGCAAAGTCCAGAAACATTAAAAGGTGGGCGGGACTTTAAACAGCAATGGTACAACAGCAACAGTGATGATACAGTTCTCCTCTGAACAACAGTAACAACGAAGCTGCTTCCTGTCTGTCATGGTGACATCATTGCCCTGCCTTGGAAGAGTGGGCATGAGACCTGTAGCGAATCCTTGCTATCTCCGCGTTGCGTTGGTCGTTGTGGCGTGTGCTCTAGTGTGTGCGTGTTCCCTGTTCTGTTTGTTTTGTACAAAAAGAAAAGAAGTCCTTCCCTCAATCCCGTCTCAAGTGGTGAACCTGCAAGCTGTGTTTGCTTGTCCGGTCGTGTAACCAGGACAAAAAAAAAAAAATCAGCATTGTTTTAGCAAAAAAATGTGGATGTTATTGATTTTATAGCCTACTGTGTGCGTGTGTGTGTGTTATGGACAAAGAGTATAACAAAAAATAACCATTGTAAACGATGGATGACTGCTAAAAGTTTACAGATGTAAAATGAAGAAAAAAGATCATGTTTTGTTTTTGTAATTGTAGTGCTTCCTTGATTTGATCTATGCACTGTAAGGAGGTAAATGTCTCTTTTGTCCTCCGCTTTCCCCCCTTCTAGCTCTTCTCTAACTCTGCCATGCTAACTGTTTAGCCTCTGCTACTGGCTGCTGTAGGCTCCGATCAACAGATGATTCATACGCCGAGACGTCTTCACCCCATTGGACATTTGGAGAAATTTCCTAAATTTACTTTTCATAATTTATTTGAACAAAAACAGAAGCCAAGTAGAATGGAAATAGGATAAAAATGTTATTCTAGGTTGATTAACTAGTTTTTTCATCTTAATTAAGATATGACTTTCAGTTGGGCTGGAACTATATTAAGAGTCATATAAAGAAATGGTTGCAATATCCTTCAAATAGATACAAAACTGAACCTAAAAATTAATTAATTTGAGGTTTTTAGGGAATTTTCAATCTTAGAAAAAGAAAATACAGTAGTCCCTCGCTACTTCGCGGTTCGTTTATCGTGGACTCGCTCCGTCACGGTTTTTCAAACTAAGAGTGGACATGACACACAACTGGCTGATTGATGGATGAGCCGCACGATCGACGTGGAATTTTTATTTAAATTATTTTAAATTACGTAGCACCTGCTGCACCTTTGTGCAGCCCACACTGCAGGATAAACTTCCTGCTGCAGCTGATCAGCTGTTCTCTGTGCAGAGCGGAGAAGTGGGCGTGGCCAAGAGCGCTTGCAAATAGTCAAATAGCAGAGGAGGCAGGGAGCTGAAACCACGACATTTTGTGGTCTTTTAGAGCTTTAGAGTTTAGAAACACTGTTTAGAATATTGCGAGAGTGTGGGAAGGGTTTAAAATGCCTATATATTAAATATATATATATAAATCTTCAGGGTACAGATCCCCCGTGATAAACGAGGGACTACTGTAGATTAAAAATGTTATTCTAGGTTGATGGCTGCCTAGCTTTTCATCTTAATTAAGATATGACTTTCAGTTGGGCTGAAACTATATTAGGAGTTATGATGGAGCTGAGTTATGGTTGAAATATCCATTACATAGGTACTAAACTGAAACTAAAATGTCATTAATTTGAGGTTTTTAGGGAATTTTCAATCTTAGAAAAAGAAAATAGTCCTTAGGGAAGAGGCTGTGTAGGTGTAGGTGTAGCAGTGGGCCATCACTTTACTAGTTTAGCTTCTTCGTTGCGAATCATTTCTTTTTGGTTTGCGACCCGTTGATCTAATCTGTGCATTTGGACAAGCAAACGTAAAAACTGAAACAAAGATTGTAGTCGGTTTCGATTAAACCCCTCACGTCAGCACTTTGTCCCAACCGTTCCAGTCCGATCGTCTTTTTAAACGATTTGTCCTCAAACTCATCTGCTTGGGAAACATTTAGTTTTAAAAGCACAAAAAAACTCACACAACATAACAACAGCATCGTTTTATGAACTTTGGTCAAAGTTGGAAGGTTCTGTTGGCTTTAATGGAATGTATTTACCAGTCTGAATGTAGAGTTTCATCACGACGCTTCAGTTTGTCCAAAGACGGTGCAGCTTTTTGGTGCTTTAAAAAGATCAACTTCAGCAGTCAATGGGTTCTGGATTACCGGGTAAATACAACCTGGACATCACCTAATAATTCCTGCTGCAGCCAGTAGCAGCATCCCTCGAAAAGGGAGAGCGCCTGCGAAGCCTGCCAATCTGGTGGCAACAAACTGCCGCCCAGAACACGTCCAGGGAGCGAGCACGGGATCGGCTGATTCGAAACAAAGCGCGCAGTCGGCTGAAAATCAGATTCCTCATCTGAAATGAGATGAACGTCTCTACCTCACATCTTCCATCCCAGCTCCCCTTCATTGTGTCTCTCTGCTCTGGATGCTCTTATCCCTCCTCTTTTTAACACTTGCTGCAGTTTTTGTTGGAAGTTCTTCTCGTTGTTTGTTAGCTTCTCGTTTGCTGGGCTGAAAATGAGTTTTTGGCTAGTTTTGTTAACGCACTATGGCTCTCTGACGCTCTAAAAAGCAAGTACCGTATTTTCCGGTGTATGCCACATTTTTTTTGCAGAGATTTGCCAGTCCTGCGACTTATACACCGAAGTGACTTATATACGTTTTGTTTTTCCATATTTATAACGCAATTTTTGACTGTCACTTTAAATTTCGAAGAAATGCAACAACGAGTCCTCTCATGCGCGCTCGCTTTACTCAGCTGGTGCAGGAGGAGGAACGCTGGAGAGCTAGCTGCTCCGGCTGCAATGGATGGTTTGATGAATGGATGGATGGATGCATGGATAGTTTGATGAATGGTTGGATGGATGGCACCGCCCAGGCGAAATGAAGCTGTTTTGACCATTAAATAAACGCATAATAAACGCGATGCATAATATACAGTATGCGACTTATACGCCAAAGCGACTTGTTTATTTTTTTCCTCTTCGTGATGCTTTTTTTTTTTAGACTGATGCGACTTATACGCTGGAAAATACGGTAATCTTTCTCCTCGTCTGTCCTTCTCTTGCCTCATAACCGTTTTAGCGTGCCCGTTTCCTGGAGTCTCAGTGTGTCCTCGTGTATTTGAACGTTTCGTCTTTGTCTCGTGTTGGACACCGCGGACTCTCGAAGAGGGGCTGAACGGTGGTTTGGTGGTTTGTTGAGTGCGCTTCACGGGGAAGATTTCAAATCTTCTCCAACTACACTTGTTTTACTATGACCCTGCTCTCCCCCCTTGCCTAGAAAATCCCAATACAATGCAGCCTATCTCTCTCTCTCTTTAACTCTGTGGGTTCAAGGCCTTGTTGTCTACGGGTCTTCCACAATCCTCAAAGTCGTCCCTACGTTCCTCTTCCCCCCCACTCTCTCGTCTTTTCTATCTAACCCTCTTGACAACACACACACACACATTAAAAAAATGAATGTTTACATCACTTGATTCTCCTTTGACTTTATTAGGAACGCACACTAAGTACAAAGGCGCCTTATTCTGTACTTAGAATAAAACAACAGCAAGTCTGGGAGGATGCACTTTCTCCAGGCTCACAGATGTCCAAAACTAACAAATACACTTTAGTGCTATACATACTGATGAAAACAACGCGTCACCTTTCAAAAAGGAAAAGAAAAAAAAAAAAAAAATCAATTGTGAACAACTGAGTATTTGTGCTTAGTATGTATACTACTAAAAAGTGAGAGAATGTGCTGGTTTACATGTTAAAAAAAGAAGATATGAATATATAATGTGTATATAGCACTATGCCTCATTGTAAACAAAATGTATTGTGTGTTTTTTTAATAACTAAAGGTGGTGGGTCACTGTTGATTACTAATAGGACAGGTGATTTCAGGTTAGATTAGTTTCAGTATGTTCATTTAGTCGAGTACAGGGAGGACATGAAGGGAAAATGAATTCACACAAGTCCAACACAACACTGTAGCAAAACGACAAAAACTAGATAAATCTTTGACTATCACACTAGAAGGTTGTTTTTCCTTGACTTTTTATTTTTATTTTTATTTTGTAAAAAGCAATTTCAGATGCAATACGTAATAATCTCAAGCAAGCCTTTGTGAAGAACTGAGGTAATAATGTTCAGCGCACTGTTGGTTGTCGAGCTTTGCCGTGGGCAATCATTGAGCTGCGGATTCAGTAGGATACTGTACTGTATGTTGTATGTTGACTGCCATTTAACAAAAAGCTGAAGAATGTGGTCAGTAAATGGATATGTGGAGAAAAAAGAGTTGTACTAACATTTTCACTGCACAAATCGTCTTTATTGGTGAAAATCTTCACTGTATTTTCTTATCGTAAGCCATTCTAACAATACCATCACCACGTTTTGATGGTGCGCAGATTTGCTTCAAATCTGAGTTGCTTTGAGCTCTTACTTTACAGTAACAGCCAATAAAGTGGGATGGTTTTATCTCTGGTAAAGGAATGTGGCAGGGAAGTGCTGAAGAAAAGCCGGTTTGACCCCGCGGGAAAGGTCAAACAGTTGAAGTCGATGCTGTAGAAATCCTAGTGTCACTTCCTGGAAGGGAAAACGAGGCGTGAATGGGAGGTTACGCTCTTTTAGATTATAAATCCAGCTTTTGTTTCTCGCCAATGACCAAAATTATTAGAAATCAGGAGCATGCACTGTCTTTTCATATAGTCCAAACCCCAACTTTGAGACTGCACTATGCACTAGGGTTTCTACAGCGACTGCGGCTGTGAGGGTTCCTCGATCGTTAAGAGTCGAAACACATCCGAACTATACCCCATTTCCATCATGGCAAGCCTTAAAAATCAATTGGGG